AGTTACCGATCCCATCCTAACAACGGGTCTCCGATACGTAACTGTTGGAGTTTAGTAATGAGCGGGATTCGATGATCCAGGCGATCGAAGGCTTTCGAAAAGTCCAAGAATGCAACATCGACTCCTGTTCCCTCATCGACAGTCCTCGGTCCAGTTGTCACGAGCTATCAGCAGATTCGTCGTACATGAACGATGTTGACGAAACCCATGCTGTTCTGGCGCAATTATGCCGTAGTTTTCCAAGTGATCCCATCAAACGCATCTGCTACCACCGCTTCCATGACTTTTGGCGATCACAGGCATGAAGCGTTACGGGGCGGTAATTGGCAGGATCCGATCGACTTCCTGCTTTGTATATGGGCGTTATTACACCTTGTTTCCACCTCGAAGGTACGATGTTCTCATCGAAAACAGCGCTGAAAGAATGCAGCTAGTGGTTCGGCCAAAGTGGATGGCAGCTACCTGTAATGTTGTCGAGGTGAATGTTATCGGCCCCGGGAGAGCTGTGTGGACGCAAGGATAGCAGCTTTTGCAGCACCAATTTCTGCAGTGAACGTGACGTTGGATAAAACGGGCGGTGGGTAACTAGTGGCGTAATATACGTCGAGGCTTGTACATCATGGAAGATTGAAGAGTACTGGGCCCGTAATGCGTTGGCTGCCTCCTTCGCAGTATGTGTATACCCATTGGTCGTAATTAGTGGTAGATTCCCCGTTGCACCTTGCGAAGTCCCTTCACATGTTTGTAAAGAAGCTTTTTGTTCGAACAGAATCGTTTGGCTAGCTCCTGCTGATGCGTTCTCTTGTCTTCGCGAACCAAAAGCACACAGTAGTTGCGATGCGAAACGTATATTCCGCCAGTTTTCTGCGCTGGGGTTGCTTTTATACGTGCGCCATGCCCGATCCCTTAGAGTCATGCATGTTTCGCGTCCGGCTTCGCAAGAATGATTTCGCTGTGCGGGGATGTTGGGAAAACTTTTGGTGTTGAGGCTTCTATGACTAGTGACGTGATTTGTGTTCGCAAATGTCTCCCAGGCTAGTTCTGGGGTGCAGTTTAGCTAGAAACGTCCAACTGGTATTCTCACTAAGGAAGACAGAACGTGGTAATGGATAACAGATTGCCTCGTTTCGAGCTCCGCAGCTGGATATTTGGCGTAGCAGATGCAACGAACTGCAAAGTCACGTGATCGCTACGGCCCAAAGGACTGCAAAACTTTAGTCCATCGACCATGAGCTCTTCGTTAGTGAGCACTAGATCTAATATCGTGGGATGTTTCCTGTTCTCAACATGGTTGGAACGGCGACGTGGTTTTATACAAGAAAGTGCTAGAGAGTAGCTCTTGCAAATATGCTTGAACACTTCTGTCTCGGATGCTGGATTTTCCAAGTCATGGGTGTTGAAATCTCCTGCAAACGAGGATGTGGCTGTACTTCTGATTAAGCACGGAGCGAAAAGCGGAGATAAGTCTGTTGTCCCTTTCCGGAGTGGATTTCGGTGGTCGGTAAACCACAGAGGGAAGGCATACGTCGTTGCGTTCCAACCACAGTTTGCACCAAAGGACGTCGGTGACACAAGTCTGGGGATCGTCTATGAGCTCACAACGAAGGTTCGTTCGGAAATAAATGAGCCTCAAGACATATCATTAGAGGCCTGCTGCATTGGTCATAAAATAGCCTAGATAGCTCACTTAGCACTAGCAGCAATGGCGTAGATCTCGGAGCCTCTAAACATATCAGCACAGACCTGCTGCACTGGTGATACAGTAGCCTACATAGGTCTCTTAGCACTAGCAGCAATGGCGTACGTCTCGGAGCCTCTAAACATATCAGCACAGACCTGCTGCACTGGTGATACAGTAGCCTACATAGGTCTCTTAGCACTAGCAGCAATGGCGTACGTCTCGGAGCCTCTAAACATATCAGCACAGACCTGCTGCACTGGTGATACAGTAGCCTACATAGGTCTCTTAGCAATATCACCAAGAAGGTAGGTCTTGGATCCTCAAGACATCATTAGCACTAGTGCACTAGTGATACAGTAGCCTACATATGTCTTCGTCTACCCGTCCAGACGGGGGACAAAAGCTCATTGCAAGAGCACCAAAAGTGCCCATCAGTAGGCACCAATAGCTAGCTTTTTAACAGCACTGGGACGATGCGGATATGGTTACATGCAAATGATAACCGAATTATCAAGAAACCTATGGGCACAGATAACATTTCCGGGAACGTTGTTGTTCAGACCCATTCAAAGTGCTCACGCAAATGTGCCGGACACGTCATATGCGTCACGTCAACACAGCGGATCACTAAGGAGTGGGGTAAATGTAATGTACCTAAAGGAAAGCATGGCGAACAAGGAATGCATGGGCTTGTAGGCCCAGTTACACATCAATTGGGCCATTCCTGCGAGGATTACAGAGCCACCGTCCGATTCATTTACCGAATGTTCCAATCAATGCCGTCAACCGAGCAGTTGCGTCGGGTTGGCAAGAGGGAAGCACACGGAAACGAAACAGGAGGTGGCCCTCAAAAGGGCCAAGTTTGCGTTCTCACAGGCTGGCCTTTAAGCAGTTAGGCAAAGTCGTAATCATCGGCTGCAGTGGTTTAATGACAATGGCAAAGAACTTACTGTCTGGCAAGCAGATCATGAAAGTGCTTCTTAAAACAGGTGTCTTTCCAGCAAAGGGTTCATTTGCAGTGGAATCCAGATCTACACTGAGGAGGATGCAGGTAACAATATATTATGACATACTCAAACGCAGGTTTGCAGATAGGCTGCAGCTCCGCCGAGGTGTTCGTCTCATTTGGTAAGCGTATAGGCATAGCGGGTGCGTTGTCCGTACTATGTGACACATATACATTGCTGCAACAGGGTACCGCGTCACAACCATCCGAAGTGTCTGAGCGGAGGTGAAAAGCTATATCAAAGCGCTTGCCTTCGTACGCCGGAGAAGTAGATGGGGTAAATGATGTCGTTATATTCGGAGATGGTGTACGGCGCATAGCTGAAACTAAATTACTTGATTCCAACTCACGTATGTTACTACTATGTGACGGCTTTTTGGGAAGTGGAACTGCTGCTATGTCACTGGAGCAAATTTTGCAACCGTCGGTTTTGTTCTCCACCAAGCATTTACGGTGGTACAGTTGCCCGTTGTGCACGCAATTAACGCCCGTACCTGCAACCGGTTAACCACAAGCGAAGCAAAATGTAGTCAACTTACGGGCTTTGTGCCACCGCGGTTGCTTACGCGGTGGTTGGCAATGTGACTTATTACTTACGACGGGCGCACCTGGTGCTACGTCTATGAGCTCATCAGTTTGTTGAATGAGGCTATCGATAAACCCGGCTACTGCACCGGGGGTTCACGTCTTCCAGGCACTTAATCCGAGCAAGCAGTTTTGCTACGTTGGAATTCGGCTGCCTTGAGGTGGCTACCTTCAAACTCCGAAGCAACATGGAATCCTCCGGCATGTTGTAATTCGCTAACCATCGACTACGGATAGGGATGCTTTCTAAAAAGGGAATGAAACATAATCGTTGTTTTACCCACCGGATGTTGATTCTCCTTATATAAAATCAATAAATGGACGCACGGTAGCCACATGTGCCCGTAAAATGCGCAAGTGCATGTGTCATTTGTGCAGTCGATGTCATATCTATGGTTGTGGGAGAGCTGGAACGTTAGCACATTTAGCCTACGGCCATCCCGAGCAACATTGACACGAGCACTGCAATCGGTGTCTCTGGAACTAAATTTGACGGTTAACAACATTATAAACCACATACTAGACTCGCCGTATTCCTTTGCTCCTTGTTTTCCGGCGCTTACAGCGCACGCGTTTATAAACGATGCGATCATACCTCATGCTATGATACTTGCTTCTTTTGCTGCTACAGCAAACAAAATTGAAGTTGTTCCGATGCATAAATGAGGTAAAAAGCGAATAGAATTCATCAAAGCTATGAAACGAATGCCCAACAAAGGTGCTCCTGAAGTCAGCCTCCATGGTTGCAATCCGAAATAACAGCTAAATACGACCTTTTTCATTTGACCTCACTTAAAGTAGCAACTAACATCATGTGCAGACATATTAGCCGTTTTTTGGAAAATACCAGACATAGTCGTATTTTATGCCGTAAAATTGAGGCCACTTATTTTTACATTGCCCATATTTCTTGCAGTTCTATGGTTGCCACTACGTGACACCCATACCTCACGGTATGATACTTGCACCTTATGCTACTATAGCCAACAAAATTAACGTTGCTGCGATGCGTAAATGAAGTAAATGGCGAGTAGAATGCTTTAAAGCTATGAAACGAATGAACAAGCATGATGCTCTCGAATTTAGTCCCCATGGTTGCAATTCGAAATAACAGCCCAAGACGACCTAGTTCCTTAGTTCTCACTTTATGGAAAATACTTAACATAGTCGTATGTTATGTCGTAAACTTCATGCAACTTATTTTTTATTGCTTACATTTCTTGCAGTCCAATGGTTGCCACTACGTGGTACCAACCAGAAGCGATTTAAGAGTTGCCCGTGACAGATGCCTGGTACAGTCAGCGTAAACATGTTCACGTACTTTAATAAGCTGCATAGCCATGGAAACGGTAAACGCAAATTAGGGTACTGTCAGTATACGTCACTATTAAGGAATGAAGACAGTCCAAGTGGTTTGTTTATATGAGCCATGTAGCTTGTACATTTTGGTGCGTTTCGTGCCTTCCGCCATTGTAGTGGAATCGCATTCACAATAAAAGACAAGGAGCTCAATATCGCCCGAAGGAACCAGAAAAATGTCAAGGTGGGCGTCTGCGACCCAGTAGCTGTATGCTAAACAGTGCCAATGCATTTGCAATTGCTAACGATGAACATATATTTTGCCAACTTCCATGCAAGGGCATCGGATAAATGTAAGCATTGATCTGAACCCTTTAGGGTGCAGCCTCTAGCAGGCCTAGAAATATACCTATTTATTTATTTATTTAACCGCAGTCTATTCGTTCTCACATTTTCCCTTATTTTCCAGATGAGTAGTGTGAGACATCCAGCGCAAACAGCGGCACGAACAGACAGTCGCGAACCAAAAACTGTTCAACTCTTACCTCTTCGATTAAATAAATAAATAAATATTTATTTATTCTCGACTATGCGAGGCACGCCCATGGAGGCATGATCAGGTAGGTGCAACCGTACAGACATATTATAGTAACTGTGACAATGACAGTAGCAAATTGGTCATATGAATAAATAGTTTGTTCTCAAATTCCTTGGGACACACCAAATCAGGCGTGATTAAGGTTTAAAGGCAGTTGTGTATCACGACGGTACTTCGGGTTCAATCGTGTATAGTTGAAATGATCAAGGCACTATAAGTGTAATGTAACAGTGCTTGTAAACAGAGCGTAACATATTCTTGCATGTGTCGGGAAGACTTGAGATGTGAGTCTAGTCGACTTGCCAGTATGTACTTGTGGGCAGTGACTTTATTCAGTGGCCAGTCACATCCGCCACGTCGCAGTATTGTTAAGCAGACATTTGTGGCTTTTTATAGGGAGAACACTTGCAAGGCAAAAACCCACCACGTCCTGCACCACTGACGTAAAGCATTATGAACAATAATGTATGACTGGCAAATCCTTTTGACGACTGATTTCGTATTCGGTACTTCGCGGACAAATGGCTCTTAATTTCCTCTGTTAGTTGGACAGGTGGTTTTATCGGGCCGCCATGATTGATGAGGTATCTTATATTGATCCTGTTTTATTGTGTTGTACGACTTCATTTCCCTGCTGCGATTACACTCCGCTCGTCGCGTACTGTGTTCTTCCTTCCGGGGCTTCCGCCCACCGTAGTTACCTGTTGCTTGCGCGAGTAATCGCGTTGTTGTGTTGTTTGTCCTTCGGCTCGCGAATATCTCTGGCTTTCCCCCGACCTTTGCACACCAGGTTTCTGGCGAAGGAGACGGATCCCAAAATGTACTCGAACGACTTCGAACCGCGTTCTATGAAACCGAAGTAAAACCATGTTTTGCGTAGTTACCACCGACTCTGGCAGAACGTTTCGCTGTCGGCAAAACTTAACATCGTGGAAGTGGAGCATAAATCTATACCATAGCGCGGTCCCTCCAAGCTCACACAGACCATATCTTCTGTCCCATCTAGAAACGAACGTGCAGGAAACCTTAATTTCTTCCGGATTATCCGCCACCTCCTGCGTTGATGAGGTTTGGGAGAAACGGGGTTCATCATTTAGAGTCTGCACCTCACAACCCGGTGCAAGGAATGAGTTTTGGACCATATCGCAGTGCGCGGATGAAACATTTGACGACTACGTCACCGTATTCCGTGCTCTGGCGTTGAGTGTCTTCAAAAATGCTGCATCCGTCCTTCTGGAGGCTTTTATTTTTGAGCGGTTGATCCAATTTTTTTTCGATGATGAAACGCTTACGTCCGGGACCCACCGTCGGCCGTGGAAGAAGTCAGTTTCATCGATCGCAAATACGAGGCGGCAGCAGGAGTCAGGAGACCGCCTCAGTCGTCTGGCTGCCCTGTGTCACACCTCAACGGACATTAGTGTTTCGACCAATGAGACCATGGTACTCCAGTCCGGGCTCTGAGGCTCCAAATGCCCATAGGTCTCAAGCCAGTGCCTCTTTTCTTTTGCGCATCGGCTGTTATTGAGCAAGATGCTCATTAGTTAAAGTAAAAGCCTCAGAGTTGTTTCCGTCTGATGCATTACCTGTATGCTTAGTCCGAACTTGATATTTCCGATCTTTGATTGAGTTTTGCCTCTCGACCCCACTAGCAAGCTTTATAGTTCACGCTAACCTCTCCCTCTCTCATTTGCCTTCTCTTTTGGCCCATATTGCAACTCTTCAATGGTGTCCTTGGTACCGCTAGCCCCAGCGCAAAATCCCAATCCTTGCTAGCTTCACTTCGCTACTGTGCCTCACATTCTTAAACCTTTTGGACTAGTCCGGTCTCTGAGACTCCAAATGCCCATAGGTCTCAAGCCAATGCCTCTTCTTTTGCGCATCGCCTGTTATTGACCAAGATGCTCATTGATTAAAGTACAAGCCTCCGACTTGTTTCCGTTTAACTCATTGTCTGTATGCTTGGTCCGAACTTGATATTTCCGATCTTTGATTGAGTTTTGCCTCTCGGCCTCACTAGCAACCTTTATAGTTCACGCTAACCTCTCCCTCTCTCATTTGCCTTCTCTTTTGGCCCATATCGCAACTCTTCAATGGTGGTCTTGGTACCGCTAGCCCCAGCGCAAAATCCCAATCCTTGCTAGCTTCACTTCGCTACTGTGCCTCACATTCTTAAACCTTTTGGACTAGTCCGGTCTCTGAGACTCCAAATGCCCATAGGTCTCAAGCCAATGCCTCTTCTTTTGCGCATCGCCTGTTATTGACCAAGATGCTCATTGATTAAAGTACAAGCCTCCGACTTGTTTCCGTTTAACTCATTGTCTGTATGCTTGGTCCGAACTTGATATTTCCGATCTTTGATTGAGTTTTGCCTCTCGGCCCCACTAGCAAGCTTTACAGTTCACGCTAACCTCTCCCTCTCTCATTTGCCTTCTCTTTTGGCCCATATCGCAACTCTTCAATGGTGGTCTTGGTACCGCTAGCCCCAGCGCAAAATCCCAATCTTTGCTAGCTTCCCTTCGCTACTGTGCCTCTCATTCTTAAACCTTTTGGACCAGTCCGGTCTCTGAGGCTCCAAATGCCCATAGGTCTCAAGCCAATGCCTCTTTTCTTTTGCGCATCGGCTGTTATTGAACAAGATGCTCATTGGTTAAAGTAAAAGCCTCAGACTTGTTTCCGTCTGATGCATTACCTGTATGCTTAGTCCGAAATTGAAATTTCCGGTCTTTGATTGAGTTTTGCCTCTCGGCTCCACTAGCAAGCTTTTTAGCTCACACTAACGTCTCCCTCTCTCATTTGGCTTCTCTTTTGGTCCATATCGCAACTCTTCAATAGTGGTCTTGGTACCGCTAGCCCCAGCGCAAAATCCCAATCTTTGCTAGATTCCCTTCGCTACTGAGCCTCTCATTCTTAAACCTTTTGGACCAGTACGGTCGCTGAGACTCCTAATGCCCATAGGTTTCAAGCCAATGCCTCTTTTCTTTTGCGCATCGGCTGTTATTGACCAAGATGCTCATTGGTTGAAGCAAAAGCCTCAGACTTGTTTCCGTCTGATT